TCAAGTGGTTGAAGAAACCGTGATATCTTTAAGTAACTCTTTTGAAAAAAATTGATCACATTTAAACAACTAACTTACATTTGATTCTCTTCTAAATTTAGGCTTTCTTCTCAGCTTGAAAAACAATAAAGCTTACACTAACCATGAAAATCTAATTTTTTTCCGAAGAAAAAGTCATGTTTATGGCTTATCTTTTAATTTTATCCCCTGTCTATTACCCTGTAAAATGCAAGGTTTTTCCAAAACTATGAGTGAAACAAAGCTTTAAGTCTATGAAAATCAGGTAAAACATAGGCCATTTTTTACGTTACTTTTGCCCAACCGAAATTTAGTTTCCAGGCAAGTTGTCAATTTCTGTTGCTATCTATCAGAGCAAGACATTGGATTTTGCGAATTCTCAAAAAAATACCCTGCAATATTTTTGGCGTGGAAAATTTGCTGTAGTATGGCTATTTTCAATATCGCTCTTTCTATCATTCCACGCCGAATTGTTAGCTGACTGATGAATCACATCAACATTGTTAGCCTAAATCAACGAACTATTTCTTTTTCAGCACAAAAAAAACGGATTCATCCATCGACTAGCCTCCTTCGAGCATTGGCACATATATATCTTTTATAGCGGCCTATAGAGGAAGAATGAGTAAGAAGAATCTTCTATCTCGCACCTGAAGAATCTGTCATCCACTTGAACGATGTCCGCGTGGTATACTGGTGCCTCTTGCTTGATCGTTTTTCCGTTAAGTTGTACTGGGTTGACACTGCTGAGGTTGGTGAGGAGCACCTGCTGGTTGGAATTCACACTCAGTCTACAGTGGCGTCTGGACACAGTCGGCAACTGCACTCTGATGTCGCATTCTGGCATCCTAACAACACATACACGTATATAAAAAAGATGTTACGATAGTTTTCATTAACTCTTTTAACGGTTTTCGAAATCTAGTTCGTTAACATAATGTTAAGATTATCGTCACTATTAATTCCAATAACTCTTCTTTTTTCGTACTTTGCAATGAGCTGTTATAAGTTGAAGTTTAAAAAATCAAAAATACCTTCCGATTGTGATAGATTTGGTGTGCATTGGGAAACTGGCTCCATCCTGACCATCTCTCTTCAATACCACCACCTTACCATACATTTTGGACATACCTCCTGAAAAAGCCGAACAGTGAAGACGAAAAGCAAACACAGCAACTTCGAACCACTTGCGTCATAGCACAGCCAGAATGTTAGTAACGCGAGCGGATCAATTCAGCAATCCTTCCCCCATTCCGTCGTTGGGGGAATGAGATAGCTGAAATATCTTCTATATGCTAGAGATTCTCTGTTTAAGAAACCTACCTACCCCGGGTTTTTCGGTAAATATGCTCATCAATCTCTTACAGAGCTAACTTGAGAAAATCTCGCAATAGGAACCTTAAACCTATTTATAACGACTGGAACTATTTTTAACTGAGAGCAATATGTAAAATAGTCTACGATAAAAAAAAGTCCTATGACAGAAAAATAATAACTTGTATAAAAAAGATGTCACGATAGTTTTCATTAACTCTTTTAACTGTTTTCGAAATCTAGTTCGTTAACATAATATTAAGATTATCGTCACTATTAATTCCAATAACTCTTCTTTTTTAATACTTTAATCGGTAAAACAAATATGAGAATTATCATTATTATGTAACATTCGTCTACTGCAGTCACACATGAGGCTTAAGAAAAATAGGCCCTATAACCACTGGCTCAAGGGTCAGGGACACTATCTCTTGTGTTTTTCTACCTCAAGAACGGTCGGAGCCAGTTCGGTTCGCTTGTGACATGAGACTACGACCCGTTACAGCTTAAAGGCTACTACTAAAATATCCCCCCACTCTAGAATTAGAAACGTCCCCATACTTAGGTCTCTAGATACCCAAAATACATGAACGCCGTTAAAAACCGGGTTGGAACAATCCGTTAAGTTACTTTTTATTAGACAGTGTAACTTTGATCCATTTCAGATGGATCAACCTAAAACTCGCCTTACCTCAACATAACAATTATAAAACACACTCTAGAATTTAAATTAAGTACTCACATTGTAGCACGCTCAAGAACCAGGAAGTAAATAAGTCGGTAAACAACTCAAGAATTAATAAAGTAACTAATATGAGTTCAATGTTAGTCAGTTTCAACAACAAGAACAAGTTTTTACTCTAGACTGCAAGTTCTCGTGAACCATTGGGACACTCTAGCTGTCCACCTTTCCACCGAAGGTTCACTCTGGTCCAGTCAAGAATAGTATTCCAATCGTAATAATCCAACTCGAGGGAATGCTCTCGTCTCTGTCACAGATGGGACAGCTCTACTCTCGATTATTATAGTGATGGAAATTGCGAATAGCAATTTCCTACTGTTTTTTCTTGCGACTTTCCCGCGTGTGTGTCTTAATCGTTCTGAAATTGTTCTGATCTCTTTTTCTGATTTTCAGTTCTCGCGAGAAAATCGTGCATGACAGGTTCCATTCGAAACTTTGAAAAATTAAATTTCACTCCAAAATCAAGTGTTTTTTGCTTCTCTCAAGGTCAAACTTCCAAATATGACCGACTGGCACATACTCCCCGGACTCGAGATCGATGTCCTCATCGCGCGCTGTCTTCTGCCAGTGAGTCCCAGAAAAACCGAGTGTTGCTCAAGATACAGTGCCAGTGGTCATTTACAGAAGTTTGCAGCAGATTTAAGCTTATCTACACCCCAAAATTCACAGCCATTTAAAATTTTCACACTATTGCTAAACAGCAACCAAAATCTGCATACACCTGCACCCTTGAATTTTCGCTTTTCAAGCCAATCATTTTAAAATCTCTTTTGTCCTATTCAATCAGGAAATTGTCATGCAGCATTTTCTATTTATATAATAAATATAGTATATTAGTAACAATATTTGCTTTGTTAAAATTTCTTTTTCGTGAATCCAAGTTTCACTCAGATCCAAGCTCAAGCCCCCCTTCCCTCTCAAGACTCAAGATCCATCCGATTTGCCCATTCATCTCGTGCTCTTCACCTTGGAGGTACTGCATCCTGAAGTGCTAGATGCGGCAAACTGTCTCAACAGTTCCTCTTCATCATCGGAACTAATCACAATCTCCTCCCAAGCCTTCAGCTGTTCATAGGATCGCATCCATTCTCTCTGCTCCTGCAATCTCTTTGCTTGGTTGGGTAGTGCCTTCACCCTAGCTTCTCGGTTCAAGCAAAAGGAGTTGTGCAGGCTCAAGCTCACGTTCTTCGCCAGGTCTTCCTCTAGTATCGACTCCCTCGCTTTGGTATTGTCTCTAGACATCTTACCCACTCTTTTCCATCCTGTCGTGATCGCATTACGATGGGTTAGCAGGGGTCTCTTGAAAGCTTCCGGCCCAATCTCGGCCTGGAACTGTCGATACTCTTTTTGATGTTTTCTCATGTGATCTTTCGTTGTCATGTACAACAAAGACGTCAGTGTCGCCCGAAACCATGGAAAGTACCTCAAGCGACTCCATACGTGCCTGACTTCCGTCGGTATGGCGAATACTTTGCACGCAGTCTCAAACAACTCGAGTCTCCTGCTGTAGTCTATCGCGTATATTGACTCAGCCGTTGGCGTCGTCGCCTCCCGATACTTCGTTATATTCTCTTCTATCCATCTCAGGGCTAACATCGTACTCACTACTAAGAGCGTCACCTTCTGCCGGTGATCCGGTAGTCCGATCGACCGAATCTCTTCCACATCCCACACCAGGCAAAGGTTCTTGTGATCTGGATACCACACCGTTTGTGCCAAGCAGTGGCATGGGCATTCCCCATGAGAGATCTCAATGCTCCTGAGATTACGCTCCCCTGAGGCTTCCAAGAGAGGCTCAAGCTCCATCATTTTCTCGTGCATCGTGTCGTTGTCTTCCAGGTTCGGAGTACTTCCCACAGGTTTCCCGATCACGTTTTGTCTCTCGTGATCGCTCGTGTTTTCTCTTTCCAACTTCAGAAGATCTTCTCCCCAGATTTCGCTTAAGTCATCTCTCAATTCTTTTGGTACTGTCCCTTTGATTTTTCTCAACAACTTGTGCGAGTGATGCGACATCCGAGCCAACCTCACACACTTGGGCACTGAGAAGGCCTTGTCCACCAGTATTCTCTGGCTGGACACTTCCACCATCGCCATGTGTAGCGGGTAGTGACTTCCGCACAAGTTGGCCATCATTGACCCTATCAGCGATTTCGCGTTCAATGGCAAGCCATAAGCTTCGCTCATGGGAAATCCCATTTCCGCCTCAAGACCAACCTTCCAGCTCCGGATGTGTTTTTGAGTCACCTGCAACACCCCGGGCCATGATTCTACGCTCAACGCCGTCACTAAATGATGTTCAGACTCCAGTCTCTCCAGTGCCTGCAGACCACACATTCTCGAGAAGAATCCGAGAGCTGTCGCTATATTCACCGTGGTTCTCGCGTAACATTCCGCTATTATTTGCACTTCACTTTTCTCCCTTTCTGTGATGTCTTCGAACCAAGTGACCAGGTCTTCTTTTTGAAACGACAGTATTCTGACGCATGACCGTCCATCGCAGATGTGCTCTCCGTTCCCACACGTCGAATCCAGACAGCTACCCGGCTCCAATTTCTTTGCTGACCCGGGGTCGCTCGTCCTTTCGCTTGGCTCTTGCATCTGGGGTGTGATTAGCTTATGTAGCACACTCAACTTCGCCAGATCTTCATCTTCCGTTGGTGCTAACCTCACTCGCTCGGTGGTTTCCTCGATTAGACTCGCATGGGGATGTGGACACCAGGAGGGTCTTAGTAGCTTCCATATCACTCCCAAGTTCGTGGTTAACAAGCCATCTCCACCGCCCATGTTCACTTCAACTCTCTTGTTTGAGCGCGGTATGCTTATCACCTCTGGTGTTTTCTCAAGAATCAGGCCCAGGCTCGGCCCCTCTTTCTCCACCGCGTCTATCTCCATTATTCTTTCTGTCCAAAACTTCAGTAGCTCCGCTACCTCATGGTTTCTGTGGGCTCCTCCAGCTTCCGAGTCTAAGAAGGGATTGTAGGCTATTCCCATCACTCCAGACACATATTGGTTTTCCCCCTTCTCACTGAGTCTCGAGTACTGTTCTGACGAGGCCAAGTTACGGTGAACATCATGTTCTTCCTCGAACTTCTTATTAGAGAACCTCCGTACCTCGTCCAGCTTTCGATGGTTCTCTAAGGATAGTCTGGAACCATCTTCTTTCTCTATTCCTGTACTCTGATATACGTTCAAGATGATCGTTGAGACTCTTCTCTCCATGGTTTTACTTCCACTTGCTCTCTGGTGGCATGCCAGGATGGTGCTATCAGACATCATTGACATTGTCCATCTCAAGAAACATGTGGCATCTTTTCTTCTAGCCAGGCTCAAGCCTGAATTGTCCCTGGCCACGTGTTGCATCAGTGCCTGATACACCTCTAGCTTCTTGCTTCCCAACTTCAGCCTGTCATACGAGGTCAATGTCTCCAACTCTATTCCCACCAGACTCCAGGTGAACATTAATTGTCCCGCAGTTCTAACGAAGGGATTCGCCATTAGTGGCGGTGCTGATGAGGATGTTCTCATCGCCTCTTCAAAATGATCCTTCAACAAACTCTGCCAGGACCTCTTCAGATGACTTGCCATCTCTATCTTATTAACCTCGGCTTTTTGCTGGGTGGCCCAATTGCGTCGCCTGCGAGCTATTCCACTGTCCAACTTCTTCAAGCAGTCCTCCATTTCCTTCAATGTTTCGAGGGCCACCCACCACGTCCGGGAAGTGTTCCTCGTCTTGCTCCTCTCCAATGGATCACTCGTCACTTGTTTGCCCATGTCCTGATGTGCCTTCGAGATCCATTCTTTGCCGATCTCCACTTCCCCTACCTGTCCGTTCGTTGAACCTCTCTTCACGTTTACCTTCTGAGGCTTGAAGTCTTCTTCTGACGTCGAACTGGTGGAAACCTCTATTTCCTTTTCTACTTCAAGTGGTTTCCTGAGCTCCGAGCTGTTCTTGTATGCCGCCGTCTTGCATCGGGCCAAAACGATGGGCGCCGTCTCTCTCAAGTTTCCTTCCGAAACAGCATCCACTGAAGGACTACCCCATCCTTCCACTTCTCTCTTCCTCTTGCGAGTCTTCACATCTC